TATATATATATATAAGTATATATAGTTTTATTTACAAGAACGCCAGGTTTGATCACGAGTCCCGATGATTATTATTGTAAACAAGAGCTGCATTACTTTTTACCGACTGTATTTGAAGGCAGCATATCAAAACGCGCTGCATCCTAGTGACGTCATTTACAGTCGACCAGTAAACAGATTCGTGGATTTTCACCGCACGCGAGGTAAGAAACGATGTAGTTTTAAAAAAAAATCTTTCAAATACATTTACTTGTTGTTTTAAAGATAATCCATACTGAAAATTATGATGTGAAACGAGACGACGCAGATCCTAAAACTGTTCTAGAATTTTCTACATCGCCGGGCAGGACTTCCGTCTTCGTTAGCAGTGAAATTATAGAAAAGCTAAGCTACTTACTGTTTTACTGCTAAAATATAACTTTGAAAATAAATGTATTTTAACTCTTTGTTAGTCTTAATCCGGTATAACTACTGAAGCATCCGTCTTGATGAATCACACCCGAATCAACATCCGTGTTTGTTTTGGCTTACCTGCGTTAGCTGGCTACAAACTAAAACTAGTTCAATAATTTTAACAACAAAAATCACATGTAAGAGTTTTTAACCTCTTACAGCTACGTTTTTTGTGTTTTATTACCTAAATCCATCATTGTAACTAAGATTGGAGTCTCCTCAGTTGTGTAGAAAACCGTTCATCAGTGGAGCTAATTGATAAAATAAAACTGATGTAAACTAGAAGAATCTTGGTTAGTTGTGTAATCTGCTTCGTGTAAAAAACAAATTGCAATTTGATTATAGGGGTGTAAATCACTAGCTTTATCATGATACGATATTATATGGATTTGTTTGGATGACGATTCGATATTTCTCTATCACATGGGCGGCTGTGGTGGAGTGGTTTATTTTATTTACTGTTATTTTACCAGGCAAATCCCATTGAGATCTCAGATCTCTTTTTCAAGGGCAGCCTGGGCCTGAAGGCAACCTATTGTACATGTTTTTGTGTTGTGGGGGAAACCGGAGTACCCGGAGAAAACCCACGCAAGCACGAGGAGAACATGCAAACTCCGCACAGAAAGACCCCAGGTGGTTTGATCCCCCGTCTACACGTTTCAGTCGTTGACACTTCACCTGCTTGACAACAAGCATGGCAGCCCCACCTCTGTCAGTGTGCCCCAGGGCAGCTGTGGCTACAATGTAGTTTACCATCATCACTGAATGGGTGAATGTCTATAAGTGTAAAGTGCTTTGGGGTCCGGAGGGACTTGATAAAGCGCTTTATAAGTTCAGTCCATTTACCATTTACAAAGTCTGTCACGTCACGATACGATTTCTGTGATATAATGCGGTATCATACGCAATGACTGTGTTAGATGGGCATATTGTATTGATCTATATATATATTGATCTATATACATCGAGCATATGATGATGATATAGATTGATATATATTCATTTTGCTTCAATATAATTTAATCATGAACCATTATATCCGTCCGTCCGTTTCCTTCCTCTTATCTGGGGTCAGGTCTCGGGGGCAGCAGCCTCAGCAGAGACCCAGACRTCCCTCTCTCCAGCCACTTGGACCAGCTCCTCTGGGGGAATCCCAAGGTGTTCCCAGGCCAGAGAAACTGTCCCTCCAGCGTGTCCTGGGTCTTCCTCTGGGTCTCCCCCCAGTGGGACGTGTCCAGAACACCTCACCAGGGAGGCATCCAGGAGGCATCCTAACCAGATGAACCACCTCAACTGGCTCCTCTCGACGTGGAGGAGCAGCGGCTCTACTCTGAGTCCCTCCTGGATGACTGAGCTTCTCAGCCTATCTCTAAGGGAGAGCCCAGACACCCTGCAGAGGAAACTCATTTTCAACTCTTGTATCCGCGATCTTGTTCTTTTCGGTCACTACCCAAAGCTCCTGACCATAGATGAGGGTAGGAACGTAGACCGACTGGTAAATCGAGAGCTTCACCTTCTGGCTCAGCTCTCTCTTCACGATGACAGACTGGTACAACGCCTGCATCACTGCAGACGCAGCACCAATCCACCTGTCGATCTCCTGCTCCATTCTTCCCTCATTCATGAACAAAACCCCGAGATACTTAAACTCCTCCACTTGGAGCAGGACCTCCTCCCCGACCCGGAGAAGGCACTCTACCGGTTTTTGGCTTACCATTATATTGATATGGATTGATGTATTGTTACCCCTACTTGATTATTACTTGTTTTTTGTGCATCTTTTAACAAATACCATTATATAGAATATAGGTTTTTAAACTTAGCTGTAGTTGCTGGTGTGTCAGAGAACTGACTCCATGTCACTGCTTGTCACGTTACAGGAGGATGAACCTGACACTGAGCTGGCTGCTGCTCCTCTTCTTCTCTGCGGCGGTGTGGTCGGTGCCCATCGATCGCAATGAAGCCAACCAGGAGCAGAAGGAGGACATACAGGAGGAGAACATGGTGAGTTTGTGATGTGTTGATGTGGAACGAGGTTCAAGACTTCTTATTGTAACCTGAGCTGTGCGACAGGACACGGGTCTGTACTACGACCGCTATCTCAGGGAGGTGATCGAGGTTTTGGAGACTGACCCTCACTTCAGAGAGAAGCTGCAGACAGCAAACACAGAGGACATCAAGGTTAGCATCTCTGTCGTTCATCGCAGACTCCAGTCTGATCAACAAGTTGTTTTTGTTTTGTAAACTCTGCTGCTTGTTTTATGTTCGCCACCAGAACGGGCGTCTCAGTAAAGAGCTGGACCTGGTCAGCCACCACGTGAGGACCCGGCTGGATGAGCTGAAGCGGCAGGAAGTGTCTCGCCTCAGGATGCTGCTGAAAGCCAAACTGGACAGCACAAACACACAGAGTGAGTCAGAAACACAAAGTTGCTGATCAGGAGCAGCCTATTCATGAATCAGTGATGGAGCCGGTCGGATCGCACAGACGTGAAATGAAACGAGCATCACAGAACCAAAAAAGGCAGGGCTGCAGCTAACGATTATTTTAGTAATCGATTAATCGGATTAAAAAAATTGTCATGTTCTGCAGTAATTACTTAAACTTATTTTATGAGAAGTACAATTATTTAATATTGTGTAGGGTTTTTCTACAC